AATAAAGCATATTTTGACTTTGACTTTGACTTTGACCTATGTTTCTGGTTGGTAAGAATGGTAATGGAAGTGAAGTGGAGACAATACCAAAACTTATATCGCTTCATATTACGAGATTGAAACCCAATACCTCTCCAGATGCACTCAAAGCTATGCTTGAGCCGCATTTTCCCGGAGTTCAGTGTGAGCAACATGCATCAAAATATCCTAGTTACTATTCATCTATGAAGGTAACTATACAGCAAGACCAATTCAGGCAGGCATGGAAGAGCGAGATGTGGCCAGCAGGGGCTGTGGTCTCAAATTTTTTTGTGAAAAAGAGGATGCTGCTACAGCTGACAGAAACAGTGGATCCTCAACAAGTATGAATAGGAACCTAAATCCAATCAAGTTGAAGTCAAAAAAGTCTCTGTCTGTTTACTATCAGAACACACGAGGGCTGCGAACTAAGACTGAAACTTTGTATACGAACAACCTATCTGAGGACTTTGATATAATTGCAGTTACTGAATCCTGGCTCACTGATGGAATTAGCAGTTCTGAGTTGCTGGATGAGAGATACACTGTAATTAGGAAGGACAGAGATTCAAGTAGTCTGCGGGGAGGTGGAGTACTTGTAGGTATAAAAAAGGACATAAAATTTGAGAAACTAGAAACTCAATCGAGGTTAGAATGTTTATTTATTAGATTAAAACTTAAAGGTGGGGCAATGCTACTTTCAGTTGTCTATTTCCCTCCAAACACACCAATTACTGATTACAGTGAATATTATGAAATATTAGAGTCATTTAACTGTAAACACGAGAAAATTCTCATAGTGGGCGACTTTAATCTGCCTGACTTTGAATCAAATAGTTCGGATTAAAGTAAGGAGTTGGTGGATTTCTGCGCACTGAATAATCTAAAAGAATGTAATGAAATTTCTAATTTTATGTCAAGACGACTGGATTTAGTATTGTCTAGCTTTGTTGTCAATGTTGGGAGGGATTTAAATCCCCTTGTATGTGAGGATAAGTTTCACCCATCGTTATTAATTGAATTCTCTCATGTACTCGATGTTGACTCAAAAAATAAAATTCAAAAGGTTTATGTTTACGACTATGGAAAAGCTGATTTTAGGCGTCTATATGATTTGATCAAAGATATAGATTGGTGTTCTCTGGAAGATATTAAAGATGTAGATAGCTGTCTAGATATTTTTTCTATGAGAAATTATATGCTTGCATTGAGCAATGTGTCCCAAAAAAGATAAGTACAAAATCAATAAAGAAACATAAATATCCAATCTGGTTTTCCAGAGATTTAATAAGTAAAATTAACAAAAAAAAGCGATATCATGCTTTAAGCAGAAAGTCGGGGTCCTGTGGTGATCAGCTTGATGACTTTCGAAAACTAAGAAGCAATATCAAATTACAAACAAAAATTGAATATGAAAAATATAAAGCAAATATTGAGCAGAACGTACACACAGATCCTCAAAGTTTTTGGAATTTCTTTAGGTCCAAGAGCTCAGGCATACCAACAAATATGCAGCTTAATGGAAAAGAGTATAACGATCAAAATAGCATAGCAAATGGTTTTGCAAGTTTCTTCCAATCCGTCTTCAGCTCCTCATCTCTACAGGATTTCACTGTAGATGAGTGTTCATATGGTAATTTTAATTTGAGCATGATCAGTGAAGACATGGTCAGAAAAGGAGTAAAAAAATTGAAGCCTAAAAAATCTACAGGTATTGATAATATCCCCCCATGCATATATAAAGGTTGCATTGATTTTTTGGGGGAACCGATTTCTTATATCTTCAATTTATCAATACAAAGTCAAGTCTTTCCCGAAAAGCTTAAGGCAGCAGTTATTGTCCCAGTTTTTAAGGGCAGCTGTGAGGGTGTAATAAGTAATTACAGACCAATAAGTATATTGAACTCTCTGGCTAAGATATTTGAATCTATACTATATGATGATCTTATGGAATCTATAAAAGGAAAAATTGTAAATGAGCAGCATGGCTTTCTCGCTGGAAAGTCAACTGTATCAAATCTATTAAAATTTACTACTCAAGCATTTGAAGCTATGAGCAATCATGCACAGCTAGATACAGTATATACAGACTGCGCAAAGGCGTTCGATTTAGTAGATCACAGTATCCTGATCAAGCGCCTTGCAGAACTGGGATTTTCCAAACAGACCTGTTTATTCTTTATGTCTTATCTCTCTAACAGACTACAGAAAGTGAAAATAGGTAATTCATTCTCAGAACCGTATGTAGCTACCTCAGGCGTACCGCAGGGCAGTAGTATGGGCCCGTTGTTATTTATAGTATTTATTAACACTCTTGTTGACTGTGTGAAACACTCATCTTGTTTGATATTTGCGGACGACTTTAAAATATTTAGGGCGATTGTATCTTTTTCTGATGTCCTTTTGCTACAGGAGGATCTGGTATCGGTTGCGGGGTGGTTTTTGGAGAATAAAATGCGCCTCAATGTGGATAAATGTGTCACGGTAACATACACTAGAAAGCAAAATCCATTTGTCTTCGACTACAGTATAAATGATTCAGTTCTCCAGAGAAGCCAGGAAGTAAAGGATCTGGGTGTACACATGCAAAGCAATTTAAAGTTCATCTCACATTATGATTTCATAGTAAATAAAGCTTATAAAAAATTGGGCTTCATCATTCGTAATGCCAAAAACTTTAAGCAACTGAGTACAGTTATAAAACTTTATAATGCACTAGTTAGACCTCACCTAGAATATGCGTCAGCAATATGGTCACCTAGGGCCCAATGTCATAGTGAACGAATTGAACGCATTCAAAAAAAAATTCTTCGCTTCCTGTACCTAAAGGACAATAGTTCCTATCCTTACCTGATTTCTTATCAAAGTATGTTGGATACATATGGATATCAAAAACTCTGTGATAGAAGAATGCAATACTCTGTGATTTTCATTTATTATCTACTAAATAATATCAAGTACAATAATTGTGCAATAATTAATGACATAAAATTTCATGTTCCTAAAGTAAATCTCAGGTGTCTGAATTATAAATTGTTTAGTATTAGAACATCTTTAGATTGTCCCCTGAATCAAATGCTAGAACATTGCAATAATGTGTTTACAAATAAAAATGTCGACTTCTTCAATATTACCTTTAGGCAATTAAAGAAAGTAATAACTTGATATAAAAATATTGACATGGTTTGCCACTTGGCTTTTTTTATTGATTTATTTGATGTATTTTATTGACTTATTGATGTATTTTAATGTGTTTGCTTTGTTCTTTATTGATTCTATTTTAATTTGTTTTATTTAAAAAAATGATAGAATGTGTAGATGTAGTGTTATACTTTGTATTAATTAATTTTAAGCTGCTATTGTGATTTGTGTAATTTACTTTTTATGAACCTGAGCACTTTCTGGCTTTGGTCACTAGTCTTATGATATAATTACCTCTTGTTAGGTGTTTTGTAAGAGTTTAATTCAATAAATAAAATAAAATTAAAATTATGAAACTTTCAGGAGAAAAATAGAAAAGCCAGAAGCTCCTCATATTGAAATTTTAATGTATGTTACAAAATTCTGTAATTTAAATATGCGTAATATTTAGTAGAGGTGCTATATGTTTCTCATGCATGTTGTTTTTTTTTCCAAAAATTCCCATTATTAATTCTTTTTGGCTTCTAACCAGGCCTACTACTTCATTTCGTGAACGATTTAACCATAAAGTGTTTAAACGGAGGGTTAATCATCGCTCAGTTTCTTCCGCTCATGGTACCTACCGCTTACCTAGTATAGACTTTGTCTTTTGTGAGCGAACGAATTTATTAAAAATCTGCTTCTTGTTTTTGCAAAACCATGACTGTATTTAGTTAAAGTCCGCTGTTATTCCCCCGAATCCCCCAAAAGCAAATCCCATATCTTAAATGTTACTCGATTTACGAAAAATATAATGTGTCAATTTTTTTTCAGGGCCGAATGAGTACCTGTAAAAGTATAAAGAAGAAAAAAACATAAAAAAAAAAAATCATTTACCAGAAGGGCAGAAAACCTTACTTTTATTCAAATCGCGACTCCACGTTGGGCGCCAAATAATTTGCCGTTTGAAAAAGAGACAAGTTAGGAGCTCATCATACTAAAATTTCAAAATTTTCCGGTGAAAAATAACACAATGGAAAATTGATGGAAATCAACTTGCAGAATCTAAATTGAGCAAAAATGCACCATCTTACATTTAAATTCTTTCTGGAAAACTACTGAAAAAAATTGTGAAACTTTTAGGAGGAAAAGGGAAAAGTTAAGAGCTCATCATACTAAAATTTCAAACTTTCTCACTGGAAAATAACAATAACAAAATAGGAAATTTATGAAAACGACTTGCGAAATTTTATTTAAGCAAAAATACACGATCTTACATTTTAATTTTTTTCTGGAGAACTACTGATTGAATACAAAGGAATACAAGAATACATAATGAATACATTATGACTACAAGGAAATACATCAGAGTACATGATAGATTTATGTATAATGTTCTTGACTAAGTAATGTTTTTATTTCCATATCCATCAATTGAGAAAATAAAGTAACCTTATGTTACAAAATTCTGTAATTTAAATACGCGTAATATTTGGTAGAGGTGCTTTATGTTTCTCGTACATGTTGTTTTTTTTCCAAAAATTCCCAGTATCAATTCTTTTTGGCTTCTAACCAGGCCTACTACGTCATTTCCTGAACGATTTAACCATAACGTAATAGACTTTGTCTTGTGTGAGCGGACCAATTTATCAAAAAACGACTTCTTTTCTGCAAAACTATGTCTATATTTAGTTAAAGTTCACTACTATTCCCCCAAAAGCAAATCCAATATCTTAAATCTTACTCGATTTGGGCGAAGTATATCTTGCGGACGCCAGATCCAATTCAACACAATAATAATAAACAAATCACTATGCCTATTTTAAGACTACAAAAAATATAATGTGCCAATTTTTTTTCAGGGCCGAATGAGTACCTATAAAAGCGTCGAGCGAACTGCAATCGGGCGTCCACCCACAAACAGGATCTGATAGCTTCGACCATGAAACGGGGCACCCTTTGGGGCTGCACCCAGCTCTTGCTATTTCTACTCTTTTTCTCTAATGGGGATGCGGCTGAGCTTTTAATTCCTGCACCTGAAAATGGCAGTAAGTAATCTATGATTTATTTTTCTTAATTAATACTTTTTTTGTAGTTTGCAAAAGTATTGACATACGGAACAGACTCGATTTCTTTAAACAGTTGGATGGATGCCAAGTTATCGAAGGATCTTTATCAATTTTGCTTTTTGAAAATGTCAACGAAACTGAAATCGCCCAAATTAGTTTTCCTGAACTGGTTGAGATTACAGATTATTTGATGCTTTTTAGAGTCAATGGACTAAAAAGTATCGGACAATTATTTCCAAATTTGGCGGTAATCCGTGGTCAACATTTGTTCCTTGGAAGAAAAGCTCTAGTCATATACGAAATGCCTTCGCTACAAGAGATAGGACTTTATTCACTTACTAAGATTATGAGCGGTCTAGTGTATATCGATAAGAATCCTTCACTCTGTTTTGTACACAGCATAGATTGGAATAAGATCATTAACACGGACGAATCCAATATGGAAGGGGGAATTACTTACTCAAATTTTCTTAAAAGCTTTAAACCTGACAATGAATGTCCTGTGTGTCCTGCCTCATCAGGCGCTGGCAAACCTTGTCCTCGCAATGAAAAAGACAGTAACAAATTTCTTTGTTGGAATCGGAATCATTGCCAGAAAATATGTACAAAATGCGGGAAGAAAGCTTGCAATGACAAAGGCGAATGTTGCGACGCACGCTGTATAGGTAGTTGTGGATCAGACACTTCTAGATGTATAGCATGCAGGGAGTTTATATTCAACACAGGAGAGGATAGTTCTGCTAAATGTGTGGAAAAATGTCCTTATGGTTTTCTGGCGTACTTGGAACGACGATGTGTTTCTCGATCAGAATGCATAAATATGACTAGACCATTAGATTTTGAATCTGAAAGTGAAGTTAATACTATAGAACACCCTTATAAAATACATGAAGATTCTTGTGTTATACAATGCCCGCCGAATTACTCGGGAAATTATACAGACCACAGCTGCAAGAAATGTAATAATACCTGTAGAAAAGAATGTCCAGGAGCCAGAATAGACAGTATTAATTTAGCACGTGAACTTAGAGGTTGCACTCATATTACTGGCTCTATAGAAATTCAAATTAGGGGTGGCAATCAAGTGGTTAAATCTTTGCAAGAAAATTTAGGTATGATAGAAGAAATTGATGGTTATTTGAAAGTGGTTAGGTCATTTTCTTTGGTTAGCCTTAATTTTCTCAGTAAATTGAAAAAAATTCGTGGAAAAATCCTAGAGAATCAACGCTATAGCCTTATAGTTTTGGATAATCAAAATCTACAAGATTTATTTGACTGGAATACTCATAAAGATTTTGAAATTGACAACGGAAGCCTATTTTTTCATTTTAATCCGAAGCTTTGTATTGAAAAAATTAGCGAACTTAGGAAAAAAGCAAATCTTCCTGCTCCAACAGAATTGGAAGTTGCTAGTAATTCAAATGGTGATAAAGTGGCTTGTACAGTGAGTAAGCTTGATGTTCATATTACCAGTATTTCAAGCAAATATGCCAGTTTGGAATGGCACCCATTCGAAATTGATGATCCAAGGAAACTTTTGAATTATATTGTGTATTCGATTGAAGCTCCAACCAAGAATGTAAATTTTTTTGATGGCAGGGATGCTTGCGGTCAAGATAATTGGCACGTCGACGATGTACCAAATATTTTCGAGCAGAATCCTGTTACGCACAATTTAATTAACCTTAAACCGTTTACTCAATACGCTTTTTTTGTTAAAACTTATACAATTGCCACTGAAGAAAATGGAGCTCAAAGCGATATCTACTATTTCAAAACTAAACCAGCTCAACCATCAGAACCAGGCAATCTTCAAATAAATAGTTACTCAAATGATTCTTTAAGCATTAAGTGGTCAGCACCGGTGCGTCCAAATGGCAATATATCGTATTACATTGTAACTGGGATAAGGCACGACCATACAACTCTTCCTAATAGGAATTATTGTATTGATTCAGTAGTTCCAGACTTGCCCAAAAAATCTTCTACAGTAGCACCAAAAACTAAGACTCCAAATAATTGTAAATGTACTAAAGATAAGCAGGAAACAAAACTAATTGATGAACAAGTAGAAGAAGCAAGAATAGACTTTGAGAATGCACTGCATAATAAAGTCTACGTAAAGCGTCTGCTTGTTAATAGAAATCCCAGAAGTGTAGAGAAAATTATCGATAAAAACACCCACAATGTTTCACAACCCCAGATAGAAGTCCCTATATATTTACATATGGAAAACACATCCTTCCAATTTATGATTGAAAAACTGATTGTTCCAAATACAACAGAACCTGGAACTAATGTTTGGGAAACCTTCACTTACTTTATTAAAGCTCCAATAACTTCGATTTATATCAAAAATTTGCACCATTTCACTTTGTATAATGTTGCTGTAAGGGCTTGTAGGGATATCGAAAAAGACGAACAGGAATTGGTTTGTGGGGACCCAGCAGATGCAACCGCCGAAACTTTAGAGAAAAGTAGGTTTGGCTTAGGACCAACCATACCTCTACTCTACTTAATTAACTTGTTTATAACTTTTAGAGGGTGCTGATAACATAAACAATGTTTCAATAGTAAACATCACATCCGATAGTGTAACTGTACGATGGGCCCAGCCGCCAGATCCAAACCGAATGATTGTGTCTGTAACTATCTGGTATAGGAGAGAGGGCAGCAAAAATGTAGGCGATGATTAATAGAATAATAATTGTTTTAGCAAGTATTTTCAAACAAATTCAGTGCGTTGAGAATTCTTGCTACAAAAAACCTACATAGTAATAATTTTGAAAAATCCTATTAAACTTATGCATCTTTCAGTCTCAGTATATTGGCGAATGTATCTCCTTTCAAGACTTCAAGAATTACACGAAAAGCGACAAATTTATGGTATACACAATACCAAAGTTGTTTCCAGGCAATCACAGTCTATACTTGAAGGCTTCCTCTCTTTTCGGAATAGGCGAAGCATCACCAATCCTCACATTCGAAATTCCAGATAGTGGACCAAGCATTATCCTCATAATATGTATGGTTTTGATATTTATCTTGTTGGTGAGTTGAGTTGAGTACTGTATTAAGTCAATTTAATAATCTGATGAATATTCTCAACACATTTTGATGAAATAGGCTTGAAAACAAGACATTCTCAAATCTTTTTTCAATTTTCACAAAAGCTGTTTTTCCTGTAAGCATGTAATATGCATAATGTATTCAATAAAATAAAATAAAATTTCAGGGAGCAATAGGTGGTGTATGGTTCTTTTACAGAAGAACCATGAGGAAAAGTTTCATGATGAATCCGTCTGTGAATCCAGATTATATGCCCAGCATTTATGTAGTAGATGAGTGGGAGGTTCCGAGGAAAAATATCGAATTGGTGAAGGAGTTGGGTCAAGGTAGTTTTGGAATGGTTTGGGAAGGTACGGCCCTGGACTGCAAGGATGTAAAGGAACTTAAGACTAGGTGTGCTGTCAAGACTGTTAATGAACATGCGACGCGCAGGTAAGAATATTCTAACCCCAGTTTGATCAAATTAAATCTCAATTTGTGATGGTTGTGAAATTTCTGTCTTTTCGGTAAAGTGGGCTCAAAGCTGCCCTCTTTTCAAATTATAGTGTCTCTTCAACAGAGTGACTTTGTTTTGTAGCAATGCGTTTTGGGAGCTATAACTATTTTGTTTTCCGAACCATTCTATGCTATATCCTAAATTAATATTGTTATAAATTTCTCAAGTTGGAGAAATTGCGCACAATATTGCAACACTGCATGATGAGTAGAAAGTTCGCGGATGGAATTTTGTCGCTCAATATTCCACAGTTCGAGACTAATGGAAGCAATTCCAGAGGCTTTTTAAATTGAAGAAGTAGTCCATATCTCAAAGTGGAGTTGAAATTTAATTCCAAAAGAAAAACTCAAAGTCTTTCTTGTGTCTTTCTCCACAAATACTTTAGTGAATTCAACGAGCCCTGCATGTTTCAAGACCAGCAGATCTCATCCTCAGGGGCAAATTTGCTTAAATTTTAAAAGGGGGATGTTTTTTAGGTCGCTAGATCATCGGATTTATAAATGCCGGGGTGTCGAAACTACACCAATAAATACGCGACTCTACTAAATTATTTGTTCAAGAAAATACTACTTTGCACTTCTCACTTTTTTCAAGTGTCTTCTCTTGTCATTTTGTCAAGGAACCAGCTACTGGTTCCGTCAATCAAAGGTTGTCTAAAGAAGCGGCCAAATACTGAGATAATAATAATAATACTAAATTATTACTAGTCTCTGAAGTTTGATTTTGATCCAACGGCTAAGCTGCTATAACTCCTGTGTCGTAACCACACTGGCCTGAAAGGGATGCTATAAGGAATTGTGAGGTTCTTTACAATGCTCACAAGGACCAAATCTGCAACTAGAAACACCGTGGCTCATCTGCAAGCAATATAGCAAAGATTTAAATTTATAACTGTTTCTCGTTTCTTTTCGGACAATTGACAAAATTTCTTGCACCTATATCAATAATGTGATTTTCATCTTTCATCTGAAGTTATTTAACCTTGTATTTTGCATTGGCGTACTAGCTTGGATAAAAGGGTCGTTCTTTGAATAACCTCCCGCAATCATGTCTTTCGGCTCAACCTCGATATTTTTTCTGTCATGGGTAGCTTTTTTTAAAAAAAAAAAAACGTGCAATTGACTGGTTTCCTGAGTTTGTACAATAATAACAGGCTAAATTTTTATCTGAGCGCCTATTACTCATGTTATTACCTTCGTTTTCAACACTAGACACAAAGGATTTAGGGTTTCTTAATTTGGAGCTTTGACTTGATTAATATTGCCGCTCCTTTGGTTTGATCTTATGCATATCAATTTTTTCTAGTCAAAGAATCTTTCAATTGCGATAATGTAGGAAACTCATTCTTAACTTTCTGTTTCTCCCACTCTTTAATGGTGTTTAAATCTAATTTACTTGTGACAAGATAGATTATCAGTGGGTCCCAAGAATCAATACAAACACCCAAAGATTTTAAACTACCTACTTCAAATTTTATGATAAGCTATCAAGCCAGCCAAATCACGAATCCGAATCTACATGCTTGATAGAAAATAGGGATTTTATGTTATTATGGATCATTAAGGATTTGTTCTCAAATCCTGAATACAAAATTTCCCAAGCTAGAGTGTAATTTTTGGAACAAAAATTAATAGAGCCTATGCACTAAGCAGCTGCAACTTCTAGAGAAGAATGCAAATAGTGGAATATAAGTCGCTTGAATACTTACTTGCATTTTTTATTCATGACTCCATTTTCCTCTACAGAATGCATAATCTAGCGACCTAACATAGGTACTTTTTTGTACGAATCTCGAATATCTCTGGCGACTGCCATGCATATTATATACCATTCAAGTAATTTGCTCTTCTGCTAAATTCTGAGGTGCCTCATCGAGATCTTAAAAAATTTGAATTTAGATTTAGACCCAATATTTGATGGTTGCAATTGTTGCAAATTTAACTTTATTATATTTTCAGGGAAAGAATTGACTTCCTAAATGAAGCATCAGTCATGAAAGCCTTCAACACGACGCACGTGGTAAAACTTCTTGGAGTTGTTTCCCAAGGCCAACCAGCTCTAGTAGTCATGGAACTTATGGTAAATGGAGATCTGAAATCATATTTGAGATCCCACAGGCCAGATGAAAACAATGATGGAAGGCAACCGCCAACCTTGAAAGAAATCTTACAAATGGCTATCGAGATTGCTGACGGTATGGCGTATCTCGAGGGCAAAAAATTCGTACATAGAGACTTGGCCGCGCGAAATTGCATGGTAGCCGAAGACATGACCGTTAAAATAGGAGATTTCGGCATGACGAGAGACATTTATGAGACTGATTATTATCGTAAAGGATCCAGGGGCTTATTGCCAGTCCGCTGGATGTCGCCTGAAAGCTTGAGAGACGGGGTCTTCTCTAGCGGCAGCGATGCATGGAGCTTCGGAATAGTTCTTTGGGAAATGGCTACATTAGCTTCCCAACCTTACCAAGGACTATCCAACGAACAAGCATTAAGATTTATTATGGATGGCGGTTTCATGGAACGTCCAGAAAACTGCCCCGATAAATTGTATTATATTATGAGACTTTGTTGGAATCTGAAACCTAGTAGCAGGCCTTCATTTATGCGCCTATGCGAAATACTTCTGCAGGATGCCAATGAAAAGTTTGCCAAAGTTTCCTTTTATCATAGTAAAGAAGGAACTGAGTTACGAGCTATCAAGGCAGCTGCCCAGGCAGATGAAGTCACTAGAGATGGTGAGTATCTACACTGTTTATGCATATTAGACCTTAGTATAAAACTTATATTTCAATGTTTTTGAAAACAATTTCAATTGACGATATTAGACTTAGATATAAGTCATTGTCAGTGATTTCTCGTGATAGCTATATGTTGAATGAGAAAGAGTCCGCTGATTCACATAGAGTTTAAAGAGAAAACCCCATACCTTCAGGAGATTGAAAACATGTTTTTTTTTTGTTAGTATCATTCAATTCCAAAGAAGATAGTGTTGAACATTGAGCAATCTTGAAAATCCCTCTGTTTACCAAAATCGCCATTTTGGACGTTTCAGTGAACTTATTATTTGTCGTCGGCTTTGGTGAAGCTGATACAATTTACATTGACTTTTCTGAAGGCCTCGTTCAAGTCAACCAAAGAATCCCGTTGAGCAACCATTCTACTCATGAAACTTGCGGCTGCCTGAGTCTTCTGCGGTCCCATGGGAAAGGCATCTTTCCCCTTCCCCTTGTTTTTTAATTTTTTTATTGATCTCCTGTCATGTGTCATTAATACGAACTTTTCTATTCGCATTCGCAGATTTCAATATGAACTTTTCCAGTCTTAACAAAGTTGTCCATAAGAAAAGTTGTGTTATAGATCGATTAGCACTATTCATAATTATTATTCTCCGTAAAATTCTCATAGTGTGTAGTAGGCCTTTTCTTTAAGATATTCAATGTTTCTTTTGAACTGCGTCAGTGGCATGTCCGCGAATTAAATAAATATGTACATACATAATTCTAGTTAAGATTTCGTTTTCAATTATTGGTAATTTCAACAAAACAAAAATTATTTTTTCGAGGCGGTCGATTTTCAAAATATTGGACTGCACGATTAGTGGCAAAAAATGCAGGACAATCAATAGGTTTTCTCTGGACAAGAAAGACTGAATTGAACTTGGTTGATTATCGAACATGCCAAATATTTATTTCGATGTACTCCCATGTATTCCTTTGTAGTCCTAATATGTATTCCTATGTATTTCTATGTATCCTTGTATTCGTTTATATTCTCATGGATGCCTTCGTATTCCTATGTTATTTCTTTGTACTCCAGGTATTCAGTGTACAAATTTGACTGGTGGTCTTACCTTTCGATTTTTGCTTAATTTGGATTTTGCAAGATGATTTCCATTAATTTCCCTTTTTATTGTTTTTTACTGGAGAAGTTTGAAATTTTAGTATGATGAGCTCTTAACTTTCCTCTTATTCTCCTAAAAATTTCATAATTTTCCCTTAAGTAGGTTTCTAGGAAAAAATTAAAATGTAAGAGCGAGGCGTAAACGCCATGATATTCCAGTGTATAAGCCTCATGTAATTCCATGTATTCCTATTTCTCATGTAATTCAATGAATTCTTATAGAACCTGAGATAGGGCCTGTTTAGTGGAGTCATTTTTTTTTGTCTGGCATTTTGAGGGATGAATGTGACTAGTTAGCTCATGAGAATATAAGTGGTTCTAATGCCTGCCTCCTGTTCGAAATGTCCACAGAATGTTTCGCCGGAAAACTCGATTTCGAACTGTGATTACCCATCTGGCGATTTTTCAGCGTCATTTTCACAACAAAACCTTTCTTTTTTTCGATTGCCAGACAAAAAGTAAACGCGGAAGGTTTTGTTCTTTTCTCTTGGAAGTTGACACCCATCCCCATTTTTTCAGCTATTGAAAAGCATCTGATATTTTTCATGGGTGATTTATTTATCAATGTCAATCTTTTATTTAAAAGCCAGAAAATTTGAGATCATTAAAAAAAAAATCTTCATGTAAATCAATTTTTTTCTTCCGCAAATTTTCGAACGGGAGGTCGGCATTAAAATCACCCATATTCTCATCAGCTTAGTAGCCACATTCAGCCCTCAAAATGCCAGACAAAAAAAAATGACTCCACTAAACAGCCCCTCACAGTCTATTATGTATGCCCTATGTATTCTTATGTATTCATATCGGGTCTTCAAAGAAAAAAAACAATCAAAGATTGCAATGGTTTTTTAAACGTATGTCTAAACAATATTTTTCTTTAATTCTGTCAATGAACTTTAATGTCAAAATGTCATGTCAAAAATCCTGACCAATAAAGGAACATTAATGCGACGTACGTTTTCGTAATCAAAGCATCCTGTTCACAGTTCACAATCCGATGTCCACGGGTGCAGGTAGATTTATCACCTTTCCCTATCAAATATCAAATAGGTGATAAACTTTACCGGTACCAGTGGACATCGGATTGTGAACGGATAATATTCTTTAGTATTCTCATGTATTCCTATGTATTCCTTTGTACTCCCTGTATTCAGTGTACAAATTTGGCTGTCGGTTTACCTTTCGATTTTTACTCAATTTAGATTTTGCAAGTTGATTTCCATTAGTTTTCTATTTTATTATTTTTCACTGGAAAAGTTCGGAATCATTGGCGTCGATATGCATAAGCGGATTTAAGCGATGCTTAGGGGCCCGAAAGGGCCAAAGGGCTCCCCTTTAAGTACAAATATTTTTTTTAAATAAAAATGCTTTGAAATAAAATTGCGAAATACATAATATAATGACCGATATCAATATACTTAACTGGTACATTCTTTCCAGTTGCCACCGCTGGAAGGTCACTTAGTTAACTAAAAATATTGAAAAATTACTTCAGAAATTCCATAAGTCAGCATAGACTTCATGATCTTTCTATTTTGTCTATCAGACATAGAACAGTATTCAATATGTATTTTCGGTATTTAGTTGCTCCAAAAAAATTATCCAATGGATAAAGGAGCCATTGATAATCAAAATTTGAATTATTACTGGCACTTAATTCTCTGGAAAACTTTCCTGGAGCCAATCAAGAGCCAGTAATAGTCAAAATTTAAACTTTTATCAACTCTGGATTCCCTAGGGAATTGCTCTAAGGGTAGTCAAGGCTCAAGAGCCGATAATAATCAAATTTTCGATTGCTTATTAGCAGTCCTTGAGTTGATAATAATAACAATTTCTTCTTCCGCAGCTTCTAATTGGCTCTTTTAGTTGAACAATTTGCTATCAATAAAACCAAGAAGGAGAGACTTTTGAGCAGTAGGTAAACGTTATTTAAAGGATTGACGGGCGACATTTTTGGCATTTTTATATACCCTCCGTTTTTTGCTTGGGTAATATTATGATTTAAGGTAAAGAGCTATGTCTTAGATGTTTGTTTTATTTGATAGAGAAAATTAGGTTTTGATTTGATGTGTTTCTACCAAATAAATGATATTTGTTGCTTTTTTTGCTTTGGATTCATCGTTTTATTTTATTTGATTCCGATTCAAAGGTTTATTAAACAACAAATTATAGAGTACAAAAATCTTATGTTTTTTTATTACAAGGGTCCTAATTGTGATATTTGCTTAGGTGCTCAGTGCATTCAAAAGCGCCACTGTTTGGAATTTCAGTATAATGAGCTCTTAACTTTCCTCTCTTTCTCCTGAAAGTTTGTTAATTTTCCCTTCAGTAGTTTTCCAGAAAAAAATTAAAATGTAAGCGAGGGGTAAACCGCTTATGTATTACAGTTTAAAAGCCTCATGTAATCCCATGTAGTCCTATTTTCTCATTTGATCCAATGTTTTATTATGGATGACGTATGTATTCTTATGTATTCATATCTATGCCTTTGTATTTAGATCCTTTAAGAAATTTGAGTTATTTAAATGAAGGCCTTCAGGGTCAAATTTTAGAGTTGAATTTCAAAGGATAGATGAGACAGCGCTACAAATCTCAAGAAAGCTCGTGACAAATTTCCGGCTTCAAATGCTGTAAACATCGTTTATCTTCTAAACCATTTCAACCTCAATTTCGGAAAAAGTAAATTTTGTTTAGGAAGATGTAAAGTCAAATTAATTTCAGAAAAAGTAAAGTTAGTTTCGGAAAAAGTAAATTCAAATTCGGAAAAAAGACAAAATTCCATATCCTACAAATAAGGTAGCGAACATTATGGGGGACACTGTATAACCATGTCCAGAGGCATTATCCTGGAGTTATGAGACTGGATGATTTCAATCCGGGTGGGGAGATTTATAACGTATAAGTCCATTTATTCCGCTCTATGAAGAGGCTAAGTATTAGTATAATTAGTCCACAATCGTCGGATAGGATTGAAAACAATACGAGAAGCTCTATATGTATTTAAATAAGCTTTACAATATATTCTGCTGAGAGCTCAACCAATCTGTGAAACCGACACGTTGGTTCTTGATAAAGGACGCAAGACGGCCTACTCAAGCCAAGCAACGTGGTGCGGGATGGAGATTGGAGGGTACGGGACGGTAGGTCGCCCGCGCTGCCGCCAATCATCTGATCTCCAAGTATGAATGAGAAGGAGTAGAGCCCATACAAATGAGATACAATAAGCCAGTGATTCCCAACCTTTTCTTAGTCACGACCCTTAAACAGATTTGCTCATAAGGTCGCGACCCCCCTACCCATTAATAAATAGAAAACAAAATTTCATTTATTCGAGAAATCTTGAACAACAATATTAATATTTCGTAACTAAATACAAAAAGTGAATTTGTTAATGTGATGACTGAGCTTGCATCTCCGTAACAAGTCTCGAAATTCTCAGTTGAGTTTTTGTTAAAGCCAATCTTATGTCATCTTGAACACCCAGTCTATTTCTGGCCTTTGTTCTAATTTGCAAAAGGGTTGAAAACCACACTTTCACGAATGTAGGTAGAGGTAAAGAGTATTAGTATCCGAAAAGAAAGCTCAAGCAGGTCGACATAAGGATATGAACTATACATGGCTCATCAAAATTAAGTCAAGAATTTCTGTTGAAATAGGGCAGGTGCTGTGGAATCATTCCTCAGCTCTAAAAATGTATCCTGCAGGAAAGTCGGCAACATCTAACGAGGCTTGAAACGGGTTCCTTACTACTGCAGCGCCCATACAATGCCGCGCGGCTTTTAGGCGGAGGCCAAGGCGTATTGCCAAATGCAGAAAAATATACACGGTGGTCCAT